CAACCTGAAATCCCTTTACGACCGTGCCGGGAAGACTTTCTCCAGCGGTCCTTCTGCGGCACAGGATGTGCCGCGTCGTACTGCTCGACCAGACCCAGTACGTCGATCATCAGTTGGGAGCGGGGCTCCCAAGTATCCCAGGACGGGGGATAGCCGCGCCACCGGACGAGATAACTCGTCCGACGTCCGTTCACGTCGCGGTGGTTCAACAGCTGCTCAACCAGATAGCGCTGGCCACCGCGAGAGTCCTCTAATGGAGGTGGAGGAGGAGGAAAGACGCTCTCCACACGATCGTGGGGATCCTTGTGTTCCCGAGAGCTTCTTTGATCGCGTAACGCAAGGGTTACGCAACGATCTCGAACATGAGCGGGACAGGCGTCTCCAAATGGCGGACACTGTCTTGAAGCATCGAGCTGAGTTTGCCTTTGCTCAGCTTGAGAACGAGAGAGCTCTGACATCTCTTCGTGACGAGCTAAGGGTAGCTCGTGGGATTGTTGATCGGTCTCGGGATGAGATAAATGCTCTTCAGACCCTTGTCGATGCCCATCATCGGGAGCACAAGGCTCTCTGCGAGATGCTTGAGCGCAAGGGCGTTCTTCATCGGAAGAAGCAGCGTACTGATGGTACGGCTTAAGCCGACCAACGTAAAACGTGGGATGCGTTCGCATCTTACGTGGCAACTCGATCGTGTATGCATTGCCTAGGCGGTGCAATGCACGGAATGGGCCGGTGTACTTGGGTAGTAGTTTACTGCTACCCAAGTTAGTCACTACATGCTTTGGTAGATTAACCGTAGACAGTAGGACTAAGTCACCTTTATTAAATAAAAGAGTGTTTGTCCTTCCATTCTTGTCAGCGTTTTGCTTTTACTTATCCACCGCTTCGGCGATGGAGTCTTGCACAAAACGGGCTACCGTTTCACGAGCCAGTATGAACTCATCTGATGACTCGTTAGCTTCAGTGCGCTGTGAGCGCACTGCAGCAACATCAACCTTTTCTTCAGTGAGGGCTTCCGCACTCTCACTGGCATCATCTTCTTCAACATCGATGTTATCGATATCGGCATCAAACGCAATGACCTCTTCGTCAGAGCGTGATGAGCGTGAACCAAATCGTTTTTTGCTCGCGCGAGTCCCTCCCCCCCTTAAACCAGAGTTACACTCTAGTAAGGTGGGTACACGCGGATGGCGCAAGCCATTCACGTAAAACGGTGTATGGGTCGTGGACGCATGCACCGAGTTGTTAATGGCAAACTCTACCATTGGCAAAAACTCACTCCAACTCTTAAAGGAGTGTACGTATCCTCGAAGTATCTCTTCAAGGACACGATTGGCACGTTCCGTCTGACCATCTGACTCTGGATGATCAGATGTAGACATCTTCAAGCGCGTTCCGAGTGATTTGAACACGGAACGCCAGAAATCAGCAGTGAATCGTGGATCTCTGTCTGATGCGAGTTCACGGGGCAACCCATGAAGTCGGAAGATGGCGTCAATAAAGACACAAGCACAGCCACTGGCTGTGATTGACTCTGGTACAGCCACTAGGTGTATCATTTTGCTGAATCTGTCAACAAATACGAGAATACCCGTATTCCCGCGTGCGTCTTTGGGTAACCCGAAGACAAAATCCATTGAGATGGATTCCCAGCACTCAGCCGGAACCGGTAGAGGCTGTAAAGGTGCACGCAGTGAAGGACTTGACTTCACTCGTTGACAGACTTCGCATGCGCGAACATACTTTCGCACAAACTGATACTGGCGGGGCCAGTAAAAGTCTCGACTCACCGTGAGATATGCTTTCTCACGACCACGATGTCCTCCTATAGGAGCATCGTGATACTCGAACATGATCCGCATACGCAGATCAGTATCATCTGGAATGACAACACGTGGTGTGTCACCAGAAACGGCTGTGTAATACAGTAAACCGTTACGAGTAGTGTATCGATCTGATGCAGATCGATACGCAGACGACAATCGTTTCAACGATTCTCGAGATGGCAGTGAGAGATGTGTCAACAACTTCACAATCTCACCATCTTGGGCGTATGCCCGCCTCACATCATCATACAACGTTGTAGATGGTACTGAGGACGTCATAACCGCAACAGTGACTGTCTCACTGTTGGGTTTCGCGACTGTTTCAAAGTCGGGACGACGTGAGAGTGCATCAGCGACGACATTAAGTCGTCCTGGTTTGTACTCGACCGTAAAGTTGTATTCTGCAAAGAATGGCAACCATCGCGCCATTCGTTGTGAAAGGTGCGGGCTGTTCACTGCCGTGCGTAATGACGCATGGTCAGTGTAAACAATGAAGGGTCTATCCCCTAATAGATAGACTCTGAACTTCGCGAGTGCATACTTCATGGCAAGGAGTTCCTTGTCATGCACTGGATAGTTCCGCTCAGCTGGTTGCAGCTGACGCGACTGATAGCAGACGACGCGTTCAACGCCTTCAAGATCGTACTGCATTAATGCACAGCCGATTGCAAAATCGCTGGCATCACAGACCACATGAAATGGCCTGTCTTGATCGGCTATTGCTAGGACTGGGGATTGTATCAAGCTCTGCTTGATACCATCAAAGGAGCGCTGACATTCAGCGTTCCATAACCACCTCTCGTTCATTTTCAACAAACGAGAGAGGTGCACAGTCATCTCGGCGTAATTGCGTGAATACTTATGCAAATACGCCGCTAGCCCAAGGAATTTTCGAAGACCTTTGACATCAACCGGCACAGGCCAGTCGGTGATCGCCTTGATCTTTTCGGGATCAGGACGTACACCGTTCTTACCAACGATGCACCCAAGAAGTGGTATTTCGCTTGCTGCAAATATACACTTCTTGAGGTTGGCATACAATTGATGCTTTCGCATGATTGTAAGAACCTGTCGGACGTGGTATCTGTAAACCTCAACGTCCGACTTTCCATCCATAGCTCGACTATGGATGAATACGTCATCGAAATAACTCGGCGCGAATTCTCGTACTGGTCTCAACAGATGTGATACACATCTGTTGAACGTGGTAGGGGCATTACTAAGCCCTTGTGGCATTACTAGCCATTCCCATAGCATGCCGCTAGGCGTGCTAACTGCGGTATAGGGTGTATCCCGTTTTCGCATAAGGATTTGATAGAAGCCATCCATCAAATCCATGGACGAAAAGATGGTACTCTTTGACATACTATCAATGATTACGTCCTTCCTTGGTATCGGCGTCTGAGCCGGTACCGTTGCAGCATTCAACTTAATAAATGCATGCACTATCCGCCACCCTCCTGTTGCTTTTCGCACACAGAAGGTCGGAGAGCTATGTGGGGAAGTTGATTCCCTCACATGGCCCGCAGCTAAACGATCGGCAAAGAACTTGTCGATCGCAAGTACTTGTTCACGAGGCAGTGGCCACTGCTTCATGACACAGTACTTCGAGCCTGGTTTAAGCTCGACCTCGTGTCGAATACCTTTATCCTTCGGTAATTCGCACGGAACAGTTTCAGGGAATACATCCTTGAATTCAACCAAATCTTCATAGAGAGGATTTTTCTTGAGCGATTCCCACGATTGGGAGTCATATCGCTCAATTCGTGTCTTTTCATCTAGGACACTCTCGTCCATGGATGAACTACTGAGAACTCTCTCGTTCTCAGTGAACACTGTTGCTGACCTTATGTCGGTTACATACTCGTCGTCAGCGACGAGTATGCAGATCTGCTTGACTTTGCCACTACGCAGATCACGCAAGAACCTTTTATGTTCGAGCGTTGGCAACTGAGTGATCTCCGAAGTCAACTTCGGAGGCGCAATCAGATCAAGTGTATAAGCGCCTACACTTGATCCGTTATTGACTAGGACATTCATTGTCTCTGTCATTTCCTGGGGACTTATTCCCTCAGGCCTCGAAGGACTTATTCCTTCGGCTTCCCGGGGACTTATTCCCGCGGGTTTCGGGGAACTTATTTCCGCCGTATTTGTAATATCGGGACTTATTCCCTTATCTTCCTTTAGCTGGGGTTGCGCAACCACAGCGAGATCCTCTACGAAAGACTCTCCAGTCGATCTAGGATTATCGTTTCGCTTAACCTGAGCGATCGATTGTTTCTCCTCTAGATGTTCCCCGCTAGGGATACATCTTTGTCCCGGTCCACTCGACTTATTCGAGTGGTGGACCTTCGACGCAGCCTGCGTTTCCTCACAGCCGCCGGAATCTTGCTCCGAAGTGTAACCGTTTGTTACACTAAGGTTTTGTGCAGTCGTACTAACGACCGTACCACAAGTGAGGCCATCGCACTCACTCGTAGTACATCCACACGCTTGTGGACGCTCCAAAACGTTCATCAGATGGCCATCCGATGAACAAGCGGCAGGCATCGTTACTGTTCGATGTTGCCAGTTTACTCGTGGTTCGTACCTTCTGAGCCACGGTATTCCAAGGATGACATCAAATTTGTCATCCAAATCCAATACGATAAAGTCATCGTCATATTGGGTATCTTCTAGCGTATAGTGGATCTTCACTATACGCTTCATGACGGTTACGGATGCGCCTGTCGCAAGACGTACCGTCATCCTCGTAGGAGGTGTGTCACATTCACTGAACTTAAAGTGACCATCTTCTAGCGATTGGCGTCGCACAAAATTGTTGGACGCCCCACAATCGACTAGAGCTCGAAGGGACAACTTATTTGTCACTTCGAGTTTCAAGGTAATGAGTGAGATCTCATTACCTAGAGCAGCAACGCACAACGTTTGTGTGTTGGGAGCAACCTTCATCAAGAGGCCTACAAATTCTCTTGACGTTGCTGGACCAGTAGGGTGCTCCGCACCTACTGATCCTGTCCGTTTTTTGACGGTCCATCCCTTTGTTGCGTCTTTGCACCAACAGCGGACCCGCGTCCCTGCCCCTTTCTCATGGGTGGACGGTCACTACGCCCAGTGTTGCGAGACACTGGACGAGGGGCACTACACTCGTAAGCGTAGTGTCCTGTCTTTTGACATCTATTGCATTTCTGCAACTTCTTGTAGTCTGTAGAGCGAGCCTTCTCGCTCTCTACATAACAGAGTTTCCATCGGCTCTGGACCTCCGCTGTCATATCGTCTCGGTTGACGATATGATGTCGAGCTGGCGCGAGCCTGTCTCAGACTGAAGTCTTCCTGCTCCGCAATGGAAATGGCTTGTTCTAGTGAATCTAGCTCGAGTCGGAACGGGTGAGTCTTGACGGGACCATCCGCAAGACCCTGCATGAACACCGAAGCCAACGTGTGTTCATCAACCGGGTTGGAACTTATACAACTCGTGAGATTTCGTATATGTTGCGCGTAAGCGTGCACATCACGCTTACCCTGCTTGAGCTTCAAGAGCTCGGTTCGAGCTCTGAACTCAGCTCTAGGCGGTTCAAACGTTTGTCCGGGCCGCGACTTGAAGACTTCCAACGACCCAAACGCATATGGGTCGTGCAACTTGAGCCCCAGTGCCCAAGTCTTGGCACGTCCTGCCAGATTTGACTGGGCAAATGCAACTTGCATATCCCCATCGTCGATGCGACGCGCCCTTGTGGCGTCATCCAATTCGACGAACCATCTCAAGAGGGAGTCCTCTTCGACTCCCCTATACTTGGAGATGTCAATCTTCAAGGTTTCGGGTCGACGCGAGTGCACCGACCCACCAGCAGCAGCCTGCTGCTGTCTCAACAGTTCAAACTGTTGAGCACCCTGTTCTCTCAACAACTCTGCTTGTTGAGAGCCTTGTTGGTGAAGCAAGGCTACTTTCTTACGTTCAGCGTCAAGTTCATTTTGAATGAGCTTGGCGATAGTAGCATGTTGGGCATATCTAATGAGAGCCTCTAGCATGACGCTAACAGCATGGATGTCCATGGTTTAACCCATCCGTTCAACCGCATCCCATTCGACATCGCTCAAATGGGATAGCCGTCACTCGTAGCGTGAAAGCTGTGGTCATCTTCAACATCCAACATATTCATGTTAGATGTGAACGTGGTCCTTGGACGGACTACGAAGTGCTACCAGGTGTAACGGGGCACCCTGAAGCTTGTACTGGTGACAGTACAAGCTACTTATTCTGATGACAGAATAAGGCGGTGCCTCGTAACTTCACGTACACTCGTACGTGCAGAGGAAGACGGTAAGGAGAAGCGAGTACTTGGTTAAAGTAAAAAGTAGAACTGTATTTAGCATAGTTAATGTCTGTTAATAAATCACTATTTATCCTCATCTAACTATGTCTGAATACAAATGTGTAAATCAACTATCTGCTCACCACTCATTGCGTGCGTCTGTCGTGGCGCGTCTTCGTTGGTTGATATAATGGCCTATATCAACCAATTAGGAACTACTCGTAAGTGCTACAGCATATTTGTCCTTATGAGAATATTCTGAGAATATAACTCTTATAGTTATATTCTATTAACAATTTCTTGTAAATTGTTATGTAACGATTCACCCCGTTATAACGAAATCATCGCGCTGGACAAAAAGACTGCTCAGTCGGCGCACATTTCGAATACCGCTTCGTCCGCTTCATCGTCACCGACGGTAAGACAAACTTAGATATGTCTACTCCGTTCTTCAGAAAGTATAGTGTAACGGGGTGAATCGTTACATATCAATTTACAAGAAATTGTTAATAGAATATAACTATAAGAGTTATATTCTCAGAATATTGTCATCAGGACAAATATGCTGTAGCACTTACGAGTAGTTCCTAATTGGTTGATATAGGCCATTATATCAACCAACGAAGACGCGCCACGACAGACGCACGCAATGAGTGGTCAGCAGATAGTTGATTTACACATTTGTATTCAGACATAGTTAGATGAAGATAAATAGTGATTTATTAACAGACATTAACTTTGCTGAATACAGTTCTACGTTTTACTTCAACCAAGTACTCGCTTCTCCTTACCGTCTTCCTCTGCACGTACGAGTGTACGTGAAGTTACGAGGCACCGCCTTATTCTGTCATCAGAATAAGTAGCTTGTACTGTCACCAGTACAAGCTTCAGGGTGCCCCGTTACACCTGGTAGCACTTCGTAGTCCGTCCAAGGACCACGTTCACATCTAACATGAATATGTTGGATGGTGAAGATGACCAAAGCCTTCACGCTACGCGTGACGGCTACTCCAATTTGAGCGATGTCGAATGGGATGCGGTTGAACGAATGGGTTCAACCATGGGCATCCATGCTGTTAGCGTCATGCTAGAGGCTCTCAATAGAGATGCACAACATGCTACTTTCGCCAAGTTCATTCAAAATGAACTTGACGCAGAACAAGAAAGTAGTCCTTGCTTCACCAACAAGGCTCTCAACAAGCAGAGTTGTTGAGAGAACAGGGTGCTCAACAGTTTGAACTGTTGAGACAGCAGCAGGCTGCTGCTCGGTGGGTCGATGCACTCGCGTCGACCCGAAACCTGAAGATTGACATCTCCAAGTAAGGGAGTCGAAGAGGACTCCCTCTTTGAGATGGTTCGTCGAGAATTGGATGACGCCATAAAGGGCGCGTCGCATCGACGATGGGGATATGCAAGTTGCATTTGCCCAGTCAAATCTGGCAGGACGTGCCAAGA